AAATGGTTCATGGATATTTAAAAAGCAAAGTTCCTCTTTTCCCTCTAGGAAAGTGAGGCTGGGAGGACATGCATATAGTTCTCATTCCTAGCCACACTGAGAAAGCTTGTCTGCCATAGAAGATTGACTCAGGGAAAAAGAATTGGGAGATGGAAAGAGAAGTACCTTGACTATATTATTTGACTCCTAGATCTAGCCAAGCCTGAAGTCTACCCTTGGATTTCCTAGTTGCATGAGCTATTAAGTTCTCCTTTTTTGCTTAGGCCTATTTGGGTTAGATATCTGTCACTTGCAAACAGATGAGTCTTAACTAGTACAGGGACTTTACCATTTTCTGGACATCTTCCCGGAATGACTAGTATAAGTCAGTGGCACATTCTGAATTCTATGAGCACATACAAATGGGACATCTATCTTGGCACTTGACCTCAGTAACTAAACAGAGCTCACTTAGGACAAAGACTTTCATCTCTGAATCCCCAGGGTCTTGTCTATATTAGATACTTCCAAACTGTTTGTGGGCGTGCTTAATAATGAATTCTCACAGTTATTAAATCCCTGGAGAGAGAGGTTGATTGAGATCAAGAGAGACTGAATACAAAGGGCCTTCTAAGATCTAAACTAGCCGGACTCAACACAACTTAGGTCAGAGCAGCTCCCCACAGGACCCCTCCTGTAAAGGCACCCATCTGTTTCTATGGGATATCTCATTACAAATCACTAGGAAGCAGCCAGTCCACTTCTTTATTGACTTGAGGCAATTAACAGCTTACACCTAGAGCAGTGCTTACTATTTGCTGAGCACTAGGTAAGAGTCCTCACAATAACCCAGGAAGGTAAATACTACTACAGTCCCAACTTTATAGGCAAGAGAACAGGACCTGGAGAATTTCCCCTAGATCACACAGCTCAGTGAGACTCAGGCTCAATCCCAATCTGTGCTCTTAGCTACGACTGTGCATTGGCTAATCTCTATCACCAGGAACTTCCCAACTCTGAAAGTCTGTTGAAATGAGGCAGAGAGATATACTATTGAGTCACACAATCCACCTGGCTTCCAGTTAGGACAAGGATGTTGAAGTCCCCTGTCATGACCCCCTTTCTCCCAGGCAGGCAAGCATTCCTAGTCTGAGGGGACGTTGTGTCTGAGTGCTTTGTTCAGCGACCACAGTTAACATAACCTTCAGTCTCTGTGCTGAACTGCTGAAAACTACACCTTGATTCATTTGCTTACCTCAATTCTGTGAAGTAGGTGTTACCACCCGCTCTTCAGGCCCCAAGGTGATGGTTAAAAAGCCTGAGCTGAATGCTGAGACGCTAGTGAGTGGGAAAGCCAGGACCGGAATCCAGGTCTGCAGTTCCAAGTCCTGTGTTCCTTTGGGCTGCCCTTCAAGATCTGAAGCCAGCGGGTACCAGCACAGCAACCGCAGGTCCTGCCTGTCTGCAGCTTCTGCCCCCTGTTGGCCTAGACAGGGCCCCAAATTGTACCTGAGGGTTGCAGTCGCGTGGTTCTACTACGGGCAAATGTGGGAAGCTATCACTTAATTTAGGGTTTTTGACGTGTGCTCTACTCCAAGGAAGTTAATTTAAAAATCAATATTGAGGGAGAAAACTGTCCAGTATTTCACCATCCATCTTTCTCAACTGTCTCTTGTGATCTTTCTACCTCTCTGTTGCAAAGTATTAACCTTGACTTTCTCCTGCTTATTACAGACAAGCATTCTCCTTAGCTACTTGGCAGTTAACCTAACTAGAGACCTGGTTTTCATTAATCCACTCAAAGAGCTTCAGCTTGGGGGGCACCTGGGTGGCTCAGTCGGTTAAGCATCTGCCTTCAGCTCAGGTCATGATCCCAGGGTCCTGGGGTCAAGCCCCACATCGGGCTCCCTGCTCAGTGGGGAGCCTGCTTCACCCCCTGCTCCTCCACCTCCTGCTCTTGCTCTCTCTCAGATAAGTAAAATCTTTAATTAAAGAAAAAAAAAAGAAAGCTTCAGCTTGGGGTGCCTGGTAGCTCAGTCCGTTTAGCATCTGCCTTCAGCTACTGTCACGATCTCAGGGTCCTCAGATGCGCTCCTACATCAGGCTCCCTGCTCCCTCTGCCCCTCCCCACCCCCACCGCTCACTCTCTCTCCGTCTCTCTCTCTCTCAAATAAATAAAATCTTTAAATAAATAAATAACAAACACTTCAGGTTATCCAAAGCATTCTTGTTCCTTCCTTGCCTGAGATGATCACAATGAGTTCATCCTGACTGAAAGCTCCAAGTGGGGTCTTAGGGCGTGAACAGGGCACTTTGCTTCAAAATCAGCCTGGAGTTATCCGGTGCATTAAAACAATCAGAGAAGCTACTCTTAAATGTTGGATTACAAAAGCTACCTTCCTCAAAAAGAAAAAAATTCCACGTCTTTGATAATTTTGTTTGTAGGATTGTTGCAGGATTATGCGAGGAAAGTATCTAGTACTGACTATACCCCAATTCTCTACTAGGTATGAGACATACATGTGTTACGTTAATTAATTAGCAATTCTCTTAGCCAACACAAAGGATCTGTGCTCCTCATATAACTAATTACTCGCCAATCTACTCTCTACAACCAACCTCTGGGTCTTCAACACATAGGAAGTATAAAATACAAATAGTACTTGCAGAGGCACCTGGGTGGCTCAGTGGGTTAAAGCCTCTGCCTTTGGCTCAGGTCATGATCCCAGAGTCCTGGGATCGAGCCCCACATCAGGCTCTCTGCTCAGCGGGGAGCCTGCTCCCTCTTCTCTCTCTGCCTGCCGCTCTGCCTACTTGTGATCTCTGTCAAATAAATAAATAAAATCTTTAAAAAAAAATAGCACTTGCAGTATGATTTTTGTTTGTTTGTCTTCAAAAAGTTGACATGTGATAGGTCAACAGAGAAAAAGACACCAAGACTTATTAGTTGCTATAACTGGGGGATGGATTTGGAGTCATTTTTGTTTTTTGATTATCTCTGTTCTCTACATTTTCTACAAGAGTCAGACATGGTGGTTCAGTGGGTTAAGCCTCTGCCTTCAGCTCAGGTCATGATCTCAGGGTCCTGGGATCGAGTCCCACATCATGGGGCTGCCTGCTCAGCAGAGAATCTGCTTCTCCCTCTCCCTTTGTGTTCTCTCTCTCAAGCTTGCTCTTACTCTCTCTCAAATAAATAAATTAAACCTTTTTTTTAAGTTTGACATAAGAAAAAACACTAAAAATGTTTTTAACGGCAAAAAAATCTACTAAATCTGAAACCATGTCCCGCTTGATGACAAGTGCTACTTCCCTCCCTGGACCCCAGTGGTCCCTTAGCTGTCATCCCAGCTCTGTTATTACACCCATAGCTCGCCCAGGGCTAATGCCAAGGTAGGAATTTCAACTCCCGGGAAGAAGCTCCTGGGACAAGGGGAGGGGACCAAGGAGAGATTGCTCAAATCAATAGTTCCAGCCTGGTGTCCCTTCGGTATTCTGAAGCCATCAGCCTCTGAGTGAGACAGATCTCCGCACAGGGCAGGACCCCACCACTGGAGAAACTACCCACCCTCACCTCTATCCTGGTCTTACCCCCTCTTCCACTACCTGATCCAGTAACTGGAGGCAGTCCCAAGGGAAGGTCTCTCCCTTGGCCAACCCTACATTTGTGGTTAAGGAGATAAGGTTTCAAAAACCAAGCTTTTCTGGAATTCTGGCCAACAGCGGTTACCGCCCCCTCCAGCGTTGGCAATAAATTCTGCCCGGCATCATGCAAATCCAGAAGCAATTCCCTGACGCTTGGAGCTTCATTCAGAATGCATGATCATAAGTGGACCCAGGAGGCTCTCTGGTTCACCCTGCAAAGGGTTTCAAATTGACTTGACCTCAAGCCAATGGCGTCCTCAGCCATTCCAAGAATCCCAGCCCATCCCTAAAAATGCAGAAACTGTCTTTACCAGCACTTTTGTCCACATCCAGGGAGAAAGTAATGGCTGGTTCTTTCCAGGCCCTCTTGGATCTTGCAGAGGAAGGTCATGGGAGGTGACCAGCACCCAGCTCTCCCTGATTTCACAGGAATGGGCAGCCCACCAGGAACCAGCCTGCAGCCACCTCAGGAGGGAGTCAAAGTAAAGGGCAGAATAATCCTGCCCCCGCCTGCTTCACAAGCACTGTGTGAATGTGTAGGAGGTGATGAGCTTCTTTGCTCTCCCTTTCCAGGCCTGAGGTGGGGTGGGAGGCAGTGAGCGCACCTGTGAGAATGGTCAATATATTGTCCAAACTGGACATTTTGGAATAAAAGGGGGCACTGTTAATAGCTCTGCTAGGATAACAGATGTTAGAGAGGAATACTGCAGACAAGCCAGATATGTGGCTACCACAGAAAACATCTTTCTTCCACTCCTATAACCAGGGGTCCACTGCTGGAGTGGTGCCCTGTACCCTCCTGGAACGGGGGCCATGAAGAAAGTCTGCTTTCCGAACCAACCAAGGTCTCATCCAGCAAGCCCTCCCACATCCCAGGAAAAGAGGAGGAAACTATCCCATAAACCTCAGAAGTCTGGGCAGAGCACCCTCTGTTCACCGCTGTGTCTCCCGGGCCAAAATCATGCATGGCAGGTAGAGCGTGCTTTGTAAATATTTGTTGAATGAATGACTGAGTGCCTGAGCAGTTTCTCCAGTCATCAGCAGAACTCCGGGAAATCAGAAAGACTTAGCAATCCTAGGTAAGTAACATTGTTACCTAAACTAGGTAACCGTTCAGGTTTGAACTCCGAATGGTTGTAACAGGCAGCAGCCACCAGGCCCCTGAAGAGGAGGTCTATGCATCACGTGTTCAGGGCTGTCTCACACACACCATTTGAAATAGTATTTTCCCTGCAGTGATTTTTCTGTGAATCCAAACAGGCTCTGGGGAAATTGCACCAGCTGTCCGTGGGACACTTATAAGTAGGCAACAGGTAAGCTTCTGTCACCAACTCTGGCTCCCAACGGCTATAACTTTTCATCCCACCAGTCAATATAAAACTGTTTCACGGAATCTCAATCAATGGCAAGCTTTTATTTAAAAAATAGAAATCTATCCTCTCATCTGAATATTTCCAAAGCATCAAACTCATCTAGGGCAGACCACATGGTGGCTATTCAGAGGCACTAAAAAGGGAGGCATTTGGTCACCATGATCCAGCAATTAAGTCTTTGCACAGGGTTAGGTTTTAAGTTCTTCCTGCTGCTCTTGGTCAATCAGCGACTGTGATTTGGGTTCAGAAGCCATCCAAGGAGAGCGAGGGTTGAGCCATCCTTAACTCATACCCAGATGGAACACCTTCCTCAGAAAAGCTGGTCCTCCCCAGTAACCCCTGGAAGAAATGACCGAGAAGATTATTTGCATCAGAAAAGATGAGGGAGACTTCAGCAGCAGGAAGTTGAAAGGGAGGCGCTTGCTCCGGAAGGAAGCGCACTTCTCCGCACGGAGAGCAACATTTGTCTAGTGAAGTAGAAAGATCCCATGACCAGAAGGGGACAACCTACTCTGGATCCTGGCTTTAACGCAGAGCCAGGACACACAGACTCAATTCAGCAAACTGGTATGAAGTTTTTGCTGCAGGCGAACTGCAATCCCCTCTACGCTCGTTTGCTCGTAAATTAAGTATAGGTCAGGGTTTCTCAACCTTGGCCCTGCTGACATTTTGGACCAGATATTTCTTTGCTATGGGTCTGTCTTGTGCATTTTAGGATGATTAGCAACATCTCTGGCCTCTGCTCACTAGACGCTCCTAAGCATCCCCTCCAGTTGTGACAATCAAATACCTCTCCCAATATTGCCAAATGTCCCCTCAGGGGCAAAATCACCCCTGGTTGAAAACCACTGGTGTACATATCCTGATTTAACCATCTCTTAAGGGTTTGGACAAGTGAAATGAGATTGTCACTTTTGCGACAAAGAAGAACTATTAATTTTTATTATTCTATTTATTTATTGAATGCCTACTATGTAGCTGTCTATGTGTCATCTCATTAATCCTCATCCTGTGAGGTGGCAATGTTCCTTTCATTTTGTAGATAAGAAACTTAAACATAAAAAAGAAAACATAAAGAAACTTAAACAGGGTGTTTAAGCAACTTGGCCTAGGACACTCAGCTAGTGAATGGAAGAAGCAGGACTCAGACACAAGTCTGACTCCAAAGCTATGCTCTTAATCACTAGGTTTTCTTTTTCCTAGAATACAATAAAAACCAAAGGTGGCAGATGAAAAAGTATTTGACACATGGAAGTGATTTACTACTACTACTGCTACTCTACTACTACTATTATTACTATTACTATTAATCTAGCACCAAGAGAGAGACAGGGCATGGAAAACAGAAGATTTGGTCACTGCCACTAATGAAGAAGGGAAGAGGCTGCCTCCCCCTGTGGCTGGCAAATGTGCAATGATTCCTTTCCCTCACCCGGAGCGGCCTCTTTCCCACCAACTATGTCTGAGATGAACAGACCCTAGGCCGCCATCACTCATCCAGGAGAAAACACAACAAAGCAGATGCCATCTTCCAGTTCTGCTCTGGGTCCTGATGGCTCCCACAGCTTGAAGTCCTCCTTGAAACAACCACCCTGCCCAAGTCTGTGAGGTATGTCTCTACCCTAGAGGATGACCTTACCTCAGCATCAAATTCCAATACAGGAAAGGCATCAGGTCGGCCTTCATGAGGTACATGGTAAGTCGCTCTCTGCTCTGGTCAAAGGGGAAGGTTTCCAGCGGCTGAGCATTGTAGTCGAACTCCGCAAGAATCACACGGTTGTAGCCAGTCACCAGTGGACACGAGGTGTAGCCATCGTACTAAATTTGCATGTGAGACCAAGTTGGAAAGTGACTTTTTTTATGGGATGACAGAAATACTTGAGAATTTATTATTTACTCTAGAGAGTGGCAATTTTCTTCCTTTTTTGTATATTTTCATTTTTTGTACAGTGAAAAATGTAAATTACCTAACAAAAATACATACTAAAGGCAAAAATTAAAGTGCCCATATGAAAGAAACCAATTAAGAAAGTGGCAGAATTGTGGGAAAACACTCCTTTCACACAGAAGAGGTGTTAATTGAGCTAGGGCTTCTTATAAGGCATACAAACCTTTTTCATTGGTTTTTGATTCTTCATAATCAGAGAAATTGTTCTGTCAAGTATTCCTGACTGGGCAGCTAGGAGAGAAATGGAAAAGTCAGAAAAATTTAAGCATCTAGGTTTTCTAAGAAAACTAAGTTGCAGACAAATACCAACAAGTTAAGAAGCCTCTATTCTCTATCCCTCTAGATTTTTAACTGGAACATGGCTCACGTTACCACTCAAAGTTCTGGCTACCAGAAGGGGTTCTTTAATTCATCAAAGGCCCACACAGATGCCTCTGTAAGTTTGAAAACTCAAGAGCCAGTCCTATCTGAACAAGAGAACTGTAACAATGGCCCTACCCCAAACCCAGTTCCTTTTCCTAGGGGTCAATGGTTGTGAACTTGGCCTCTGTGTCCAGAATCCCCTAGCCTATTCGGATGTCCCTCTGTCCTTGTTCAGATGGCCTCAGGTGATATTCAGTTGGGCCAAACAGTGAGTTTTCCTTTGTCCTGGAATGCCCTGGCAGAGGCTGGACCAGATGTAGACAGTCAGACAGGTAGACGGATGTTCTTGGTTTTTGATGGCAAGAGTGGGAGACTGCCTTTTCTATTATGAAAATATTCAAACTCTACCATTCTTGTTCCATCTATCCTATCAGATGCTACTGTTTTTTTCTGGAGTATTTTCAGAGCAAACAATCACATCAATTCACCCATAAATATTTCTGTGTATATCTCTGAAAAATGAGGAAATTTTATTATTTTTTTAAAGATTTTATTTATTGGGGCACCAGGGTGGCTCAGTGGTTTAAGCCTCTGCCTTCGGCTCAGGTCATGATCTCAGAGTCCTGGGATCGAGCCCCGCATCGGGCTCTCTGCTCAGCAGGGAGCTTGCTTCCCCCCTCCCCTCTCTCTGCCTGCCTCTCTTGTGATCTCTGTCTGTCAAATAAATAAATAAATAAATAAAATCTTTTAAAAAAATAAAAAGTAAAAGATTTTATTTATTTGACAGTGAGAGTGAGAGAGCACAAGCAGGGGGAGCGGCAGGTAGAGGGAGAGGGAGAAAGAAGCAGGCTCCCCGCCAAGTGGGGAAGCCGTATATGGGACTCAATCCGAGGACTCTGGGATCATGACCCAAGCTGAAGGCAGTGGCTTAACCAACTGAGCCACCCAGGCACCCAAAAATGAGGAACTTTTAAAGTATAAACACAATAGCATTTTTACACCTCTAATATCCTCTAATCCCAGTCTGTGTTCAATGTTGAATAATCAAACTGCCCTCTTAAAAATATAAGGTAGTTTGTGTCTCTAGAGTTAGAAAACTAGATTTACTTTTGAGGAAAGATGGGTTATGTTTATGCTGTAAAATGTTCATTAAAGCAGTTGTTTTGCAATCCCCAAAGCCAGGAGTCAACAAACTTTTTCTGTAAAGGAGAATTTTATAAGGGTGCCTGTGTGGCTCAGTCGGTTAAGTGTCCAACTCTTGATTTTGGCTCAGGTCATGATCTCAGGGTCATGAGATGGAGCCCCCCTCATTGGCTCCATGCTGGGCATGGAGCCTGCTTAAGATTTTCTCTCTCCCTCTCCCTCTGTCCCCCACTCCTTCTCTAAAAAAATACAATAAAGAAAAACTTTACACTTGTGGGCCCAGAGGAGAAGAGGCAAATATTAAAGATATTATATAATAAGAGAGAAAACAAGACAAAAAATTATTAACAAAATCCAAAATATAAAAATAATTTTTTGTAATACAGGTCTACTAGTGAGAAGAATGGAATTCTTTTTCTGACCCTCAGTGCTCCCTATCATCAAACTGATTATAAATGTTAAATGGCAGAAATCATTCCTACAAAAGCAGGCAGCACGTTGCACCTGTCCAGCAGAGTATAGTTTGCTGATGCCCAAATCAAAAGAGAAATAAATGTTTTTCCAAAATGTGAAAGTTCAAAAAAATGAGGAGTAAATAATTCTGCTTAAAAATATAAACTGGCTAGGGTGTCTGGGTGGATCAATCGGTTAAGCATCTGAATCTTTTTTTTTTTTAAGATTTTATTTATTTATTTGAGAGCGATAGCGAGCATGGTGGGGGGTGGGCAGGCAGAGGAAGAGGGATAAACAGGCTCTCCACGGAGCAGGGAGCCCAATGTGGGGCTTGATCCCAGGACCCTGCGATCATGACCTGAGCCAAAGGCAGATGCTTAGCAACTGAGCCACCCATGTGCCCCAAGCATCTGACTCTTGATTTCAGCTCAGGTGATGATCTCAAGGTCATGAGATGGAGCCCCGTGTCATGCTCTGTGCTCAGTGAGGCATTTGCTTGACGTTCTCTCTCTCTCCCTCTGCCCCTCCCCCTGCTTGCACTCTCTCTCTCTCTCTCTCCTTCTCTCTCTAATATATAAACTGGCTGTCCTCATTGTTTTAACATATCTAAAGATCCTATTTCCATTTTGGAAAACTCTGTTCCCTTTTGAAGGCCACAAAGAGTTTGGAATCTTTACTGAGAGGACCCAAGGAGGCCTCTGCACCAGGGCATCCAGGCCACCAGATGAGGAGAAACAGGGCCCAGCAAGGTACCACCTGCAGAGAGGCTGGGACCCAGGAAGCAGTCACACTGTGAAGTGTCTGGTATCCAGGTTTAAGGTGTGTGTGCATGAAAGTGTATGTGAGTTGTAGGTTTTCCCTATTATAATCCCCTTCTGTTATTCCCAAACCTTCTGTTAACTTTTGTTAAATATCACACTGTGATAAATACCCACACTGTGTTAAATACCTACACTGTGGTGTGGGTAATGAAGGGACAATCTTCAGAGAAAGAGGCCTGAGCAACGGGGAAGCTAGATTCAATGTGGCAACATGGGGTCTTACTCAGAGTAGCACAGTGGTCTGGAATGAGGTTTGACACCTGGCTGGGTGGCAAGTAAGCCAAGGATGGGTTATGGAACAAGTGAAAGCCTTGCTAGGGCTACTCAGGACACCCGGGGAAGGGAATCTACTGAGCTATGTAGATCCACTTAGGGAACACTGGGACTGCAGTCATTTCATCACTAAAATGTGAAGTGACATATATATATATATATATATATATATATATATATATGCATTTAACATGAATGAAGGAAAAAATTAACGCTGTTTGAAATGCAAATTGCCTAGAAACAACATAAATATAAATTAAAGAGTAGACTCATTAAATGAATTCGGGAGCAACCATACAAAAGCATACAGACTGGAAAAAAAAAAAACAGATGTAAAAACAATGGGGACACTCTCTAAGTGGTTAGGGGGAACACAGAAGCAGCAAATTTTCCACTCATAACTTTTTGTGTAATCGTACTTAATATTATCTCTTCAGAACAGTGAATGGAATGTGTCTGAAGTAGGCCACACACTGGATAATCTGTGCCCCACGTGTACCCACAGGCATTCTCCACACATAAATTCAGCAGGTTACATTAAGAGAAATGTAAATTGAGAGTATCGTCACACAGCCTGCCTGTAAATCACAAAGAGAAAAGATATCTTTATAGTAGAGAGAACTGACAAGCACCCCTTCACTCAGTGATAAAATCTAGCTTCACCAAGGATAAGACAAGCTAACATGGCGGGCCCCTAAGGGGAGGCAGCGGGAGGAACACAGTCTCACGTGTGGAAGGTCTTGCCAAAATGGATCACCTGAACCTAATTTTAAGAAGACCACCAGACAATTCTAAATTATGGGATGTTCTACAAGACAACCAATCTCGACTCTTCAAAAAGCCAGTGTCATAAAAGTGAAAAAAAAAGTCAGAATGTCTATTCTAGATTAAAGGAAACCAAAAAGACAGGACATCCAATGCAGTGTATAGCCCTTAACTGGCTCATGGATTTAAGGGGGGGTGACATGGGGGTAATAAAGGCCATTTTTATGAAAACTGGAGAAATATGAACTGGATATGAGATGATTACATATGAGACAATACAGTGTTCGATTCCTTCGACATGATCATGGTCTTATGGATATAGAAGAGAAAGTCCTTGTTCTTTTTTTTTTTTTTAAAGGGAAGGTCAAGCAAAGCTTTATTTCGCGCCAAGCATCAAGAATCTAACCGAACGTTCAGGGACACACCTCTTACAAGAGAGGGCGACCCTTCTCTGTTTCACAGTCTAGCTTTTAAGGGCAAAGGCCATGCAGTCGGGCCTGGCCAGGCACAGATGACCAATTGAGTTACAATTTACCAGAGTAGACATTTGACCCAGCCTATCACCTTGGTTGGGATTGGCGCCCAAAAGGCTCCCAAAGGGCGGGGCCCCTACTCCTTGGTAACCAGGGAGGCAGTATGCATCCCCCCCACTGATCCGATGTCTCCACCTGGCCTGACCCACTCTTGTATCTGGGCTTTGTTACCTGGAGCTGGTTTCCAGGACTTGTTTTTAAGTGAATCCCCTGGGGGAAGGGGAGCAGGAACAGTTTAACTTTAATGAAAGCCTCTTGCTAATTAGGTCCTTACATTCCCCCCTTTTCTTTGGAGACTAGTCAAATCTTTGACTTTTTAGCCAGTTCTATACCTCCGCTTTTAACGGCTGATAGACTGTTTTAATGACTCCAGTGTGATTTACCCAGAAACAGTATTTCCCTCCTAAGGTTATGCAGAGCCCCCCGCTTCCTTTTATTAGAAACAGTAAGTTAAGTAGCCCCCTTTTTATTTTGCAGTTGCTTATACCTCCCGCCTATATCTTAACAACAGGGGCAACAATGAATTTAATAAACTCATTGTTTTTTGAGTCTTAGTTTTAGTCCGGATCGGCAGGGTCCATGGGCAGCAGATGGTCTTATGGATATAGAAGAGAAAGTCCTTGTTCTTAAAGAGATATAGGTTGATGTACTTGAGGGTGAGGTATTACTACATCAAAACCCACTTTCAGATGACTCGCCAAAAAAATGTACATAGAGTAATCAAGACAATGTTACAAAAGATGACTGTTGGTTAATATCTAAAGGCTATCGGAATATTCATTGTACTTCCCAATTTTTCACGGTTTGAGATTTTTGAAATCAAAAGTTGGGGGGGCAATGATTATTAATAATGATAAAGACATTGAGCGGGTTTCCCAGAAAGCCCTTCGTGGGTTGCAGTAGTGAAAGTAACAGCCAATCTGTTCCACGGGTGTGCAATTCACACAAAATACTCTCATCCCAGCTGCGGGAATGTCTGTGTTTTACAGCACCCGGAGAAGACAGTTCTTGTCTAGAGAGGACAGCATCTAAAAGCCAATTCTCCTCATCACTGCTAGCGCAGAACATGGAGGGAAAGAATTTAGTTTTCCAGGCTGAGGCCTTAATCGTGCACCAATGATGGCACGCTCCACTGTATTTGTCCTACGAGAACAATTTTCTGGTCTGCAAGCTTTCATTGACTTGCATGTGTTTTCTGTGGAAACAAACAATTCCCCAGCTTTACAATGTTTCAAGCTAAAGAAAAATAGCCAACCTGCCTTGTGTCACAGGCAAAAAAGAGGCCAAGCAGAGGAGTGTGGCGGGATGAGAAGTAATGGAATTCCAGAGATCTGGAAAAATGGTACCCTCTCCCAAATGCCCCCTGCCCGGCAAACCACTTCTCGGACCCAAACAAAGGCAGATGAGGTCAGGTGGCTCTTTCTTCCTCATAGGATGCTAAGTTCACAGACAACCTGTTTCTGTGTCAGGGAGGCTGAAGTCATTTCTAGGCCATGGAAGGTTCATTATTAATGAAATGCCATTTGTGCCAAGCTTTGGTTTTTGTGATGACAAGTGACTTCAGGGTGACATCATTCTGAGAGAGTAAGAAACCTAGCTCATTCTCTTACCCACTGCGGCTGCAGTCTTTGACGTGGGAAGGTTGGTGCAGTCCCCGATGCCGAAGACATTGGGGTATTTCTTGTGTTGAAGAGTTTCTTTATCGACGTCTACCCAGCCGGCAGCATCCGCCACAGGACTCGTCTTGAGGACATCTGGTGAACTCATGGGTGGTGTTACATGAAGCATTTCATACTACAAAGAAGGAAAGCATCCACACTGGTGTTTTTTCCAGTATTTCTCCAACCTCGAAAGTTGTCCCCTGACCTCCCTTACCCAGACACTGAACCGTGCACTACCTACTTCACGTTTGCACTAATCCACACCTTCTCCAAGGTCTTAAACGCTCCCAAGCAGTGTCCTAATAAAACAACTAACCATTCTCTTGCCTGATGTGGTCTCCCCGTAAAGAGCTGACGTGATCCTTCTGGGCAGGAGGGATGGGGGAATCAGAAACACCGGAATGAACCGCACTAACCCCGATGTGTCTGTTATTCCTAAAAAAAAAGGAGGTGGTGGTTCTCAGTTGCTCTCTCCCTGATCCTTGGCTGTCTACTTGCAAAGTCTGATACTTCGGTTTTATTTTGCAAAAAGGTGCTCAGAGTCCCCCAAACCTGTAAAAACAGTGTGCAGAGCTGGTAAGGGAGAACCCTTCCCAAATACTGGTGGACTCCCAAAATCCATAAAGGAAACCAGCAGAATGCCAATTTAAGGTGAAATAAAGGGTGGTGAGAATATTCGCTAGCATTCTGGAGGACAGAGGCATCTGATTCAGTGAAGGGTTTACTGAACAGTGTAGGGGACAGGGTGGATTTTTTCCCCCCCTCAAAAAAATCCTATGTCAACCTGACCCTTGGCAGCACTGCTCCAACCCACCGTGATAATTCAGATGCTCATTTAGTTTTTTTTAATTCAGATGGCTCATTTAGTTTTTTTAATTTATGTAATACCTTTTTGTTTGTTTATATATTTCTGTAGTTTATCCTTTTCAGTCTTTTTATTATTATTATTTATAAACTCTATCGAGCGATTTCAACCTGATTTAAGAGTGCCAAAACATTTCATTAAGGTGCAAACTTTAGCCTCTTCAGACAATCCCAGCTTTGTGACAGTCCAAAGGTCCTGGCTTCCGTAAGGAGGTCCATGCCCTCGTTGGTGGGTGGCAATCATGGACAGCAGAAGGAGTTAAGGAGGTGGCTTGTCTTTATTCCCACTCTCAGATGGTTAGAAGTGTAATTAACCCTAAGGCAGAACCGTGCTATAAATGGCCAGTGCTCCTTTGCAAGGGAATATTGGGTGGTTCTTTATTGGCACAGGCCCCTGAGCCTGGCTCTCCTAACGACCATGGAAACAGAGCACATGACTGCAGGATAATGTATGAAATGGGCCACAGCCATGATCCACCGAATTACTAAGGCTGGGTCTGTTTTTCTATAGTTAACCAGAACTACTTTTTTTTTTTAGCCGAGGGAGAAATTTTACCAGAGTAATCTCAATCCATTGGCATTGATGTGCTTAAATTTCACAAGTACACATGAATTCCATACATCTTTGCTAGAAGGAAAGTAAATGTTTCCATATAATCACTATAAAGGCATGAAGTTTTATTTGAGCTAAAATCCTACAAAAGATATACTAAGGTCTGCTTTACAGATGTATTGAAAATTAACATTGGCATTTAGCCATAGCTTGTCCTTCATACGTTATTTCCACAAACCGCATATAACGAAGAACTTGGTTCTCCTTCATTACCAGAAAATAATCTATTCAGAATAGCAGTTTTGAAACTTTCATGTTGAGAAGCAGCATTTGGGAGGCTTGTGGGAAATGCAGGTTCCTGGGGCCCACCACCCCCAGAGCCCATTGCAGCAGGTCTGAGTGAGGCCCAGGACTCTACACTCCAACAAAATCTCAAACAAAAATAGAGATTCTGACACACGAAACCTGTAGGTCTTAGAAGCTCTGGCCTGAAGTAACGGGTTTGTGTAGAATGAAAAACAGGGGGCGCCTGGGTGGCTCAGTTGTTAAACATCTGCCTTCACCCCACAAAGAGCCCCGCGTGGAGTCCCGCACTGGGCTCCCTGCTCAGCAGGAAGACTGCTTCTCCTTCTGCCTGCGTGTGCTCACTCTCTCTATCTCTCCGACAAATAATAAAATCTTAAAAAAAAAAATATGAAAAACAGAATGTCATTATATGGACAAGCCATTACACCTTCCATTTGCTTATCTATAAAGAAATACATTATCACTGACCATTGAACAATTTAGCCTATAGGCTTTCTTTTTCTTTTCTTTTTTTTTAAATTCTTTACAGTGGTGATTCTCAATCCTGCTTGTACATGAGAATTATCAGAGGAAATTTTGAAACTCCCAATCATCATTTCACACCCCCCAAACTAATTAATTAAAATCTGTGGGGGTTAGACTTAGCCATCAGAACATTTAAAAACTCCCCAAGTAATTTCCATGTGCAGTCAGGGCTGGGAGCAGTACTTCAACATCTTTTAGCAGATTTTTTGAAATCCCTAGTTTAAGAGTGGGGTTGGGTTTGGAAAGAAAATCTGACCTGAAATCCTATCACTCAAAGGGGACCAAATATCCTTCTTCTTTATAAACCGTTTAGAAGAATAACCATTTAGGGGCGCCTGGGTGGCTCAGTGGGTTAAAGCCTTTGCCTTTGGCTCAGGTCATGATCCCGGTCCTGGGACTGAGCCCAGCATCTGGCTCTCTGCTCAGCAGGGAGCCTGCTTCCACCTCTCTGCGCCTGCTGCTCTGCCTACTTGTGATCTCCGTCTGTCAAATAAATAAATAAAATCTTTAAAAAAAAAAAAAAGAAGAAGAAGAACCATTTATTTATCCAAGTCCCCATCCACAACTTCAACTATCAAGAGCACAGCTGAGAACTGGAGTAAAAACCACCAAATAACAAAATTAAGTTCATGCACTCAAAGGCATACACTTTGCTCATATAACTATGCTGGGGGCCCTGACTTGTAGCCCATTCACTTTACTTTACACAGAATTGAACAAGTTTGGCTATCTCATTTTCCAGTCAATAAAGAATGAGCAGCAGCAGCTTAGATGAGCTGAAGCTGGAGGGACCTTCTGAAGCACTTAAAACTGCCTGACAGCCAGGAAAAAAGAAAACTGGAAAGCTAAAAAAAGGACACATACAAAATCAAATAACAGAGTTGTCTGAGACCCTTTTAGGAGGGGATAACTAGCTCCAGTAGGCCCTAGGAGCATAACTATATAAAAAGCTATTCAAAGGGGCTCCTGGGTGGCTCAGTTGGTTAAGCGACTGCCTACGGCTCAGCTCACGATCCTGGAGTCCCGGGATGGAGTCCCACATCGGGCTCCCTGCTCAGCAGGGAGTCTGCTTCTCCTGCTGACCTCTCTCCTCTCATGCTCTGTCTCTCTCATTCTCTCTCTCTTCCTCTCAAATAAATAAATAAAATCTTTAAAAAAAAAAAAAAGGCTATTCAAAATTAGGACCCTGAGCTGTAGCAAGCAGGTTATCAGATGAGCCTGGGACATCCTGTGACACCAGAAAGCAAGAAAGTGCTCAAAAATATGGCAGCAACAAGTCCAAGGCCATTGCCATCTTGAAAGGGCTTCTACTGACCAAATCTGGACAATGTGAGCACCAAAATAATTATGGACAGTAAGGAATTATAAACCATTGGGGGTAAAAACAAAATTCATGAGTTCATACCAATAACTAATGAATTAAGAGAGAAGGGAGGGCTTTTGCAGACAGAATGCTAACAGCCTACTGTCAAGGTAGAGAAAATGCTTAATTGGAAAAAAACACCATTTTCCAACTGCCATAGTAAAGACTGGATTAAGCAAAAATGATCAGTGGGTGGTAAATCCAGTGGGAAACTTAATGAGGAGGGAGTACAGTGTTTGTTTGACCTTAAGGTGTTTCCCCACAAACTTTCTTTTCTTTAAGATTTTATTTTTTTGACAGAGATCACAAGTAAGTGGAGAGGCAGGCAGAGAGTGAGGAGGAAGCAGGATCCCCGCTGAGCAGGGAGCCCGATGCAGGGCTCGATCCCAGGACCCCAAGACCATGACCTGAGGTGAAGGCAGAGGCTTAACCCACTGAGCCACCCAGGTGCCCCTCCCCACAAACTTCTTATTAGTAGCAAGAGGGGAAAATGAATAATAATTAAACAGTAGAGAAACTGGGCCATCTCTTGACTGTTGATCCAAATGAACATCATCAGTGAGGGGCAATTGACCACTGTGTGCTCTCAAACATGATACCCTAGAAAGACATGACATCACTTATACACTACTTCAGTCTAAAATGCACAGCCGGAAACTGATCACAAGAAAACATAAGCAAACCCAAAATGAGGAGCACTCTACTAAAAAATGAAGCCATGGGAGGCGGTCTGTATTATTCCAAAATATCAACCAAGGAAGGCCATGGAAATGTTCCAGATCAAAGGATGCTCAAGAGACATCCCAATTACAGGCAGTACTTGCCTGTGGACTGGGTTCTGCCCTGGAGGGAGAAAAACACTATAAATGCTACAAGGTCAATCAACAAAACCGAATATAAACGATAGACTAAAATATTGTGCCCATGCTAAGTTACCTGAATTGATAACTGTACTGTGGTTATGTAAAAGAATAGGGCTCTCTTAAAAGATTTACAGTAAAGTATTTGGGCAAAGGGCCATGCTATATGAAGTATATAACTCACCTTTAGAGGCTTTGAAAATATATTATATTATATTATATTATATTATATTATATTATATTATATTA